AAGCGGAACCAGCTTCGAGAACTCGCGGCACTGAACGGTACTCTCCGTGACGATGAGAACCAGGCTTGCCAGAACTGTAGGTCCACTCCCAATCATCCTTGGTCCCTCCTTCTAACACGGACAGGTGGTCAAATCGGACACCGCAAGTACGATTGCCCTGAACAGCGCAACTTCACCGCCAACATTATCTGTCGCGTCTGTGGTAATGCAGGCCACATGGCTCGCGATTGTCCTGACCGCCAGAGAGGCTCCGACTGGCGCAACGGCGGCGGCTATGGCGGCGGCGGCGGCGGCGGTCGCAGAGCCATTGGTGGCGGCGACGCCGTCGACCGGGAGATGGAGGTAAGTTCTTGGTTCCGTATTGTGATTGATCGTTACTAATCTTGACCAGCAACTCATGCAAGAACTGTCTGGCGGTGCTCCCGGAGAGAACGGCCACGTGCCCCGTCGCATCGAGGCTGGACCCGATCAAGGCTACGATGACCGTGATGCGAAGCCGTGGCAGCGTGGCCCTCCTCCCAGCGATGTGGCTCCTTGGCAGCAGCGCGGCCGCGACCGTCGCGACGATTATGGACCTCGCGACCATGGCAGTGCGCCTCCCTGGGCTTCTCAAGGTCGTGGCGGCCACGGCGGTCACGGCGGCCATGGCGGCGGCGATTACGGCTATGGCTCTCAGGGTGGCTACGGTGCCCCTGGAGCTCCACCCCCGTGGCAACAAGCGCAGGCTGCCCCCCCTCCGCCCCCAGGTGGACAGGCATCGTACGGCTACGGAGGCTATGCCTCTTACCCTGGCATGGGAGCGCCCGGTGCTCCTCCTGGCTTGAGTGTGCCGCCTCCACCCCCGGGCATGCCCTCGATGTATCTTGGCAACAGCGGCAGCCCTCCCCCACCCCCTCCTGGCGAGGGGCCGCCTCCTCCGGTATGCTTGCTTTAGGTGTATTGAATCTGCAGAACACTTGACTGACCTGTTACAGCCCCCGAGCGAGCAGCCTCCTCCCCCTCCCCCACCTGCTTAGTGGATTTGCAGGACCTGCAGGATCTTCAGATCATAACGACAAAAGCCTACTGATTTCAAAACTGCTGAAATGATCATGAGAGTTGCTTTGATTTGGGCTGAAATTCGACAGGAACTCGCAGGACAGTAGGGCGGCATACGTGGCGGGCGAGTCTGGAATCGACTGGACGGCGTCCGGCCTGCTGCTCTTATTCGTAGTCTATTAAGTGTACTAGCTAATCAATCTTGTTTCTCTGATGTTTTTCTGGAGAGTTCTTAGTAGTGGGGAACCTAGAATTCAGCTAAAGTGCCGAAGAGCAAAAGCCGGAGTGACTTTTACGGGGCTGGCCCCGTTATTGATGCCTTAGGCGGAGACCTTTCTCCGCAATTTCCTGGAGAAGCTCGAATCCATCGATTTTTCTCCTTCAAGAACCAATTGATCCTGCAAACTCCTCCAGATCGGAGAAGCGATCATGATTTGTCAAGTCAAGTAGAGCGTTAATTCTCATATCGCCTTCTCAGACTTTCAGCCATTCAGGTTAAGGCTTCTTAGCCTTTTTTGTTTTTCTATCACCAAAGTTAAATCAACATCTTCCGAGAGAAAGATCGAGGGACCCGCCTCTTCATCATCCACCACCACCACCACCACCGCCGCCATGACAGGCGGGAAAAATACCCACGCGGACCAACCCAGGAGAAGCCTTGGGGATGGAGGAGGAGGGTACCAAGCCCAAACCCCATCCCCATCCCTATCCCCAAACCTCCACTCCCATCGCAAACCATGGCAATCGCAACCACAACCGCAGTCCCAGTCCCGGTCCCGACGCAGCTCCTCCCTCCGATCCGGAGGTGAGAGACATCAACAGCAGCAGCATCGCCCAGATCCCGGGGCAAGACGTGACCCCCGAACTACCACTACCCCATCATTGTCGAAATGGTACCGCGTCCGCTTGTTCCGGGGCATGGTCAAGGACGTCAAGCGCCGGGCGCCGTACTATTGGAGTGATTGGACGGATGCGTGGGACTATCGCGTCGTGCCGGCGACGGTGTATATGTATTTCGCTAAGTATGTTGGTCCTCTTTTCGCTTTACGTTGCTTTGCTTTGCGTTGCTTTGCTTTGCTTTGCTTTTGAACAGGATTGGGGAGGTGAGCTTCAGGTTGGGCTTTGGGGATGGGTTTTGACGACGGGGCTTGATTGTAATCAGGCTTTGGGACATTGTGTTTTGGACTAAGATGACGATAACTAACCCGTCACGTTTAGTATTCTCCCTGCGTTAGCGTTCTCTCTCGACATGTTTGAGAAAACCAACCAGAGCTATGGCGTCAATGAGGTGCTGTTGGCCTCGGTGCTGGGGGCGGTGGTTTTCTCCGTCTTCGCCGCGCAGCCGTTGGTTATTGTTGGAGTTACTGGTGAGTTTATCCTCTTTCCTATCTTGAGAGGGTCTTGGGAGTAGGGCGAGGGTCCTCGGTATTCGGGCGAATGAGCAGAGGAGAGAGCTAATGTGTGGCAGGTCCCATTACGGTGTTTAATTATACCGTTTATGATATCATCGCTTCTAGAGGTACGAATTATCTGGCGTTCATGTGCTGGATTGGCATGTAAGTCTCGCCCTGTTTCCATTGTTTCTTGTTGGTGGGGGCAAAGGCACCGTACTGACCAGTCAGATGGTCGTTGATCATGCACTGGTTGCTGGCTATCACCAACGCCTGCAATGGGCTGACCTACGTGACGCGGTTCTCGTGCGACATCTTCGGCTTCTACGTCGCGTTCATCTATCTGCAGAAGGGCATCCAGGTCCTGACCAGACAATGGGGCTCCGCGGGCGAGACCTCCGCCTATCTGAGTATCATGGTCGCCTTGCTGGTGCTGATGGTGGGCTGGATCTGTGGCGAGCTGGGAAACAGCAGCCTCTTCCAGAGATTCGTGCGCAAGTTCCTGGAGGACTACGGCACTCCGTTGACCATCGTCTTCTTCACGGGCTTTGTGCACATCGGCCATATGCGGGACGTCGAGGTGGCGACTCTGCCGACCAGCAAGGCCTTCTTCCCCACCGCGGATCGGGGCTGGTTGGTCCATTTCTGGGACATCAGCGTCGGGGACGTGTTCCTGGCGATCCCGTTTGCGATCCTCCTGACGATCCTGTTCTATTTTGACCACAACGGTGAGTTACGCCCTCCTAAATTGCGGTAGACTAGAGGTGGCTGACCACTTGACCAGTGTCCTCACTGATCGCCCAGGGAACCGAGTTCCCGCTGCGTAAACCCGCCGGGTTTCACTGGGACCTGTGGCTTCTGGGCCTCACCACCTTCGTGGCCGGTCTGCTGGGCATCCCCTTCCCCAATGGGTTAATCCCCCAGGCGCCCTTTCACACGGCCGCCCTTTGCGTGACCCGCGACGTCGCCGACGAAGACGACACCAACAAGGGCAAGGCCATCCGCATCACCGACCACGTCGTCGAGCAGCGCGTCAGCAACCTGGCCCAGGGCCTGCTCACGCTCGGCACCATGACCGGCCCGCTCCTCATCGTCGTCCACCTGATCCCGCAGGGCGTGCTCGCGGGGCTCTTCTTCATTATGGGCGTCCAGGCGCTCCAGGGCAACGGCATCACGCAGAAGCTCGTCTTCCTCGCCCAGGACCGCCGCCTCACCCCGGCCGCCAACCCGCTCAAGCGGCTCAAGCGCCGGCCCGCCATCTGGGCCTTCGTCATCGCCGAGCTGATCGGCTTCGGCGCCACGTTCGCCATCACGCAGACCATCGCGGCCATCGGCTTCCCGGTGATCATCCTGCTGCTGATCCCCGTCCGCTCGTTCCTGTTCCCGCGGTGGTTCACCGCGGAGGAGCTGGGGGCCCTCGATGGGCCGGCGGCGAGTCCGTTCACGATGGAGAGCGTGGGCGGTACGCATGGCTTGGATGATTCGTTCCGGGGCTCAGAGGCGTTGGCGGGACACGAGGGTGGGCGGAGGAACTCGAAGGCCCGCGGTGGGGATACTGGCGTCTTTGTTGCGAATCGGGACGAGAGTTCGTCGGAGTCGGTGGTGGACGATGATCTGGAGAGGGGGGAGGTGTTTGAGATGCAGAGGTCGGCGGTGCGGCGGAGGAGTACTACGGGCGTGAAGGATTAACATTACGTCTGTATGCTTTGGGGACGGCCAGAGGCTACTCTGACTGCTGTTCGGGTGGATGCTGGCTTGGGACAGTTGTTGTGCATAGCTTCCATGGCAGGTCATGGAATTCTAGAGTGGAGATTCAACCGTTATATATAATGCTATATGACCGCCGATTGTATGTTGGTCGATGGTTTCTCGAGGGTCTTTCCGCATAAACCTGTGGTCAAGGTGGTACCAACCTGGGCGAGTCTACATACTGAAACCATTGTAGCAAGGCCAATTGAAGATCCGAATGAGGGCTATAGTACTGCAGATATAGCCCAAATTGCTGCTACCACTGAATTGCACCCAGCTGACCCACATCAACAGTTCCTACATGGAATTGAACAGATATCAGGAATTGAGATGCTTAAGGGCTGAGTTGAGGTCATTATGCTGAGTCACATTACAAAAAACCGAGTATCGAACCCGAAGATCTGACTTGAAGCATGGCAGCGGTGCATGAAAATTACTCACTCAGCTCGCTCAACAAATCCATATTTTATGAGATAAAAAACAAAAAAGAGAATCCAATTCAAGATTGGAAGGAGTCAAGGCCCGAGCCGCGGATCGAACGCGGGACCTCTCGCAGATATGCTTGGGTTTGTATCCCTAAGCGAGAATCATACCACTAGACCACCCGGGCTTGATATGTTATATGCTTGCTTTTTAGACTTGATGTTCCAAGAATTGACTCTTCACCTTGTGCAAAATAAAGTTCATCACGAATCAATCCTCGCATTAACCGAACACGGTTAGCCGGATACACCGCCCAGGGCGGCCAGCCTTTCTGCCGTCATATCGGCCAAAAAAAAAAAGTCAAGCGCATGATTCACTGTACATCTATCGAACACACTCCAACCACAATGGCGCCCTCACAGTCCCCCGACCCTATTACAGAGGACTTCGCCTCTCACCACTCCTCGTCCGACTCAGAGATCGAGTCCGAGTCTGACTCGGGCGGCGTCACCCTCGACGCCGAACAAAAGCGCGCCCCCAAGAGAAGACGTCTCTCAGAGTCCTCGACCGACTCCTACATTGCCGCCCCGCTGCCGGCACCCCTGCCCACGCTCTCCCGCATCAAGCGCAAGGAGGACGTCGCCAAGGAGGTTAAGGAGGCAGCGGACGCGAACCCGGTGCTCATCAAGGATGCGCTGGCAGCGGGGCTCGAGGATGCGCGGTCCTCGTTCACCGACCTGAGCGTGGCGCCGTGGCTGGTGGGCTCGCTGACGACGATGGCGGTGCGCCGGCCCACGGCCATCCAGAAGGCGTGTATCCCCGAGATCCTGGCGGGCCGGGACTGCATCGGCGGCAGCCGCACGGGTTCCGGTAAGACGATCGCGTTCGCGGTGCCGATGCTGCAGAAGTGGGCGGAGGATCCGTTTGGGGTGTTTGGGTTGGTGCTTACGCCGACGAGGTGGGTTTATCCTTTTGTTTTACAGCAGCAGAAAGAAAGGATGGAAGGATGGAAGGAAGACAAGGTGGCATGATGCTAACCTTCCGAGGGCAGAGAACTGGCCCTCCAAATCTACGAACAAATCAAAGCCCTCTCCGCGCCGCAGAGCATGAAACCCCTCCTGATCACCGGCGGCACCGACATGCGTTCGCAGGCGCTGGCCCTCTCGCAACGGCCGCACGTGGTCATCGCCACGCCCGGCCGGCTGGCAGACCACATCCACACCTCCGGGGCGGACACCATCCGGGGCCTGTCGCGGGTGCGCATGGTCATCCTGGACGAAGCCGACCGCCTGCTCTCCCCAGGGCAGGGATCCATGCTTCCAGACGTGGAGACGTGCCTCAGCGCGGTACCCTCGGCCGCGGAGCGACAGACGCTCCTGTTCACCGCAACGCTGACCCCGGAAGTCCGGGCCCTCCAATCCATGTCCTCCTCCTCCTCGTCAACAACACCCGCCAAACCCCCCATCTTCGTCACCGAAATCACCTCCGCCAACAAATCCACCATCCCGCCGACCCTCCACCAGACCTACCTCCAAGTCCCGCTGACCCACCGCGAAGCTTTCTTACATGTCCTCCTCAGCACCGACGCCAACGCCACCAAACCCGCCATCATCTTCACCAATACCACTGCCACCGCCGACCTGCTGGAGCGCATGCTCCGCCGCCTGGGCCACCGCACCACCTCCCTGCACAGCCGGCTGCCGCAGAGCGAGCGCAACGCCAACCTGGCACGGTTCCGGGCGTCGGCCGCGCGCATCCTCGTCGCCACGGACGTCGCCTCGCGTGGTTTGGATATTCCGTCGGTGGAGATGGTGGTTAACTACGATGTGCCCCGTAATCCGGATGATTATGTGCACCGTGTGGGTCGTACGGCGCGTGCGGGCCGCAAGGGTGAGAGTGTTACGTTGGTTGGGCAGAGGGATGTGGCGCTTGTGCTTGCTATTGAGGAGAGAGTGGGGCGGAAGATGGTCGAGTGGGAGGAGGAGGGCGTTAGTATCGAGACGAGGGTGGTTAGGGATGGGGTGTTGAAGGTGGTGGGCGAGGCGAAGCGCGAGGCGGCCGGGGAGATGGATGAGGGGCGGGATGTGCTGGGGAGGCGGAGGGTGAAGTTGAAGAAGGTTAGGTAGAGAGACGGTTGTCTTGTTTTGATGTTGTGGTGTATGTACATAGTTCGGATTTTAGTGGTATGGTACAGTGCCTCTGGGATTTGGTTTATGTTGAGTTGGTTGAGGATCGTAGCGGACAATCTGTAGTGGGCGAACGGAGAAAGTAGGAAGGGTATCATGGTTCTCTCTCTCTCGCATGCCTTGCCTGCCTGCCATCCATCCAGTTACAAGACAGCAGCAAAAGTCCTCCCTGAGTCTATATACATTACATGCATGGCATCAACCCCGTGGGCGTGAGTGATGAGCCGTCCGGAAAAGGGCCGCGGTGCCCTCATCCACAACCTTGAACACTGGGTAGATCATATCCGGCGGAGGACCCGACAGGCAGACAGGCAGGTAGGCATTACGCTATCCTCCGAAGGGACTGATTCCGTATGGCACGGTTGCCGCGCGGCAGTCCTTCAGTGAAATCACCCCGTCCGCGCCTCTTTTCCGGAATGCTCCGCCGTCCCCATCAACTTCAACAGCCCATCTACCGCATCCCCCTTCTGCGATAACCGCCGCTGCGTCTCCGGAAAACCCATCCCCATCCCCATCCCTATCCCGTCCTCTTCACCGTCCGACTCCTCGAGCCCGGTCCCGGTCCCCGGCCCCGCCCCAATCCTCCGTCGCGACACCGTCGCAGGCGGACTACTCAGTTGCATCGGCGATGCTTCTTTTCCTGTTCCTCCCGTTTGCCGATACATCTTCTGCGTCGGGGTCTTCATCGCATCCTCCCCATCCTCCTCCTCTTCCTCCAGCGCAGACGCAGACGCAGCCTCATTCCCCGTCGAGAGCGGCGGCGACGACAGCCCCGACGCATGCTTCTCCAGGGAAGCGTTGCGCTCGGGCTGAAGATTGGAGGCACTGACGAACGGGACCGGGGTCTTTGGGTCAGCAGTAGCAGCACCGCCACCGCCCATGCGTGTCGGCGCAGGGGTGTAGGATCCGCTTGTTTCGGCGACGACTAGGCGGGGACATTTCCGGCTGTGGGCTTCAAGCTCGGAGAGGCGGCGGTCGAATTGCGGGTCGCGGACGTGACGCATGGCGGTTTGGAGGCGGGTGCGGAGGAGGGTTGCTTTCTTTCAGGATGTTAGTTTCTTGATGTATTGGGGGGTTAAGGGGGAATAGGAGGGGAGACTGGGGGTGGGGGTTTACCTCGTGGATGAAGCTTTTGCGCGTCGCTGGGTCGGAGAGGACTGCTCGCGTGGAGGGAGGTGGGGGTTGTTGTGTGGATGGTTGGGTGGATTTACAGGGTTGTTGTTGTGGTTGTTGTTGTGTTTCTAGATCTGGAATACTCGGTTGTTGTGTCGCGTCGGATGGGATCTGAGCACGCGACTGGGTTTAAGTAACCTATACATGAGATTTAAACAGGGGTTGTGGCGCTGAAGTTACCTGTTCGTCTGCTGCAATTGCAGAGGATTCGGTAGGCAGCTCCTCTTGCGCGTGGATTGGGGCTGCTGCTGCTGCCGCCGCCGGCGCGCGCTCGCGGGTATTGCTCTCATGCTCGTGGGGGCCCTCCACTTGGTCAATGGTGCGTTTCTGACCGGCAAACAGCGGCGATGGAAGAAGCTTCTTCGACGGAGAGGTGAACGACGGTGCCTCCAGGAATGGCCGTTTCGCTGGCGAGAGGGAGGCGGCGTGGCGAGGGCGGGCGGGCGACAGGCACGCGTTGGCGGTCTTCTCGCCGAGAATCCGCCTGCCGTCCTTGACAGGGCTGGTATGTGCTGATGCGGTGGAATGCATGGCGAGTGGGGTGGGTACTTCCTGAGAGAAGTACTGGAGAAGACCGCGAGAGGGGAATGGGGAGTGAAACGATAATAAGTGTTTGTGTGTGGTGGACGTGTTGTACGCCAGTAGTTCCGTTAAAGTAGTTCCGGGCCAGGAGAGCGAGAACTACCAGACACGTGCTGGAACTTGGACAGTACTGTACACACAAACACAAACTTGTGAGAAAGAACCGGGTTCCCAGAGGAATGGGAAGCAAGGAGAGTGTCAAGACAAGGAAGTTGAACTCGGTCAGAAGAGTCAATGGCCTTTGCCTTTTGAGGGGGGGAGGAGGAGGAGGAGGAGGAGGAGGTGGTGGTGGTGGTAGTAGTGGTGGTGGTAGTAGTAAGTAGTAGTGGAGGTGGGCTCGGCGCGCGTGTGGGCATCCGCGTCGGAGTCTCGCTCCTCGTCCCCTTGCCGGCCAAACTAACCCCAACTTCTACTAAAAGTAAACCCTCTCTGGTAGCGTGTCCTACGCGTCGAGGGGGAGGTTGGCTGGTGTCCACTTGACTTTGGGGTCATTGACGATGGGGTAATTGTTCTTGCGTATGGTTTCAAAGTAGTTAATCATTTCTTTTGTAATTAACCTACTGTTGTTACTCGACCGCGTTGGAGATCGCCTCCAGCGCGCGTCGAGGTCGACTATTTGTACCTCTCTGCTTCACGCAAGTGACCTTGGTCTTTGCATGGTCATGCAGCATCTTCATCTAGACTGCAACTCGATGACCTTGGTAGTCGACATACTCTCCAAGGCCCGACATTCCCCGCAAGCATCAGGCGTCTTTGGTCCCCTCCAGCCCCGCGGTCTTATCTTTATACTTAGCAATCGGCCATCCAGGCTAAGTTTATGTGTTCCCCTCTTGACATGCCACATGTACTGTGGTCTTTAGAAACCGTGAGGGAGGCGATTCAATCCCGTGAGAGCTAGGCAGTGATATCACCGTAGAGCTAGTCTTGTACTGTACCATGTCTTGATCTTCGACTCCCCTAATGTGCTGGTGAATCAACGGCATGCGCACACACCAGGACCAATGGCCTCGGAAGCATGGCAGGACTCTTTCAGGTTGTTACTAGTTTGCTGCATGATGCAGGATCACATGCATGGTTTACAAGGAGGCTTTTGGGGGAGTCCTAAAATAATGCTCTGAGGATGAGGATGTGTTGTCAGAATGGATGAAGTGCCATTATGTTGTCAAGCGAGACATGGGGCATTCAAGGCAGTCGAACTGTACACGATGAGTTCCTCTTTACTGAGTTCATCTCAATTGAACCATGCTAGTCGTGGTGATCCACCCTCTTGAGGGAGGTCTAGCCATTGATAAGGCAGCACTAGCACACACAAAAGACGAGGTACTTGTTGCTCGTAGGCCGGTTTATATTGCGCTAGAGAACAGAAATCAGACCTGAATCATATCAGTGAGTACTTCGTACCGCTGTGCTGGTCAGTTGGACCCGTTGCGTTGGTTCGCACGTAGTTAGGGCATGTTGCATCTTTGCCAATTTCGCTGCTCGCAATTGGAGAGAGCAACTCACACGAACCCGGAGTCGAGGGAATTGTTGTTCAGTCGGAAATACAATCTGGACTTTGCCCTGTGTCCTGTGATTACTGCAACAAATCAATCATTTCTGGCATTTTTCAGCATAGACTACAGTCCTGTACAGAAGGGCATGTCGTGCTAAGCTTGGTCGGTGAACCCTAACGGGGCCAACTGCCACCACCAAACGAACACTTAACTACGCGATTAAACTCATGGACGAGAGGCAACTTTCGCAGTACGAAAGTAGGAGCATGCACGACAGACAAGGTTCAAGGATGAACAAGACCGGTGGTCCTTTTTGACTCCGCGCTTCAGTCACAAATCAAGTACAGGCTGTATGCACATGTGATCTTTACCAGTACCTTCACCAGTACTAGACAGATGACGGGACTCACAAAAGGCCAATTCAGTACTGATGGGAGGTACTGTACTTGATTAATGTCATTCATGATAAGCTACAGTAATATTATCATCATGGACCTCAATGGGATGTCAGGGCTGTGGTTAGGCAATGGAAAAAACAGCCACGGATTACCTCAGCTCCATCCATCCCCAGCTTTCCCCGCATTTCCCCCTTCCTCCAGCTTTGGTTCTTCTGTTCTCCTCGAGCTTCTAGAATCCTTTTCTCAGGTCATTGTCCCCAACTATTGTTGATTGGTATCTGCGTAACCCTCCAAAGCATCGTTGATGTCCCACAGCTTTGTCGATCCTTACTGTTTATACTTCCCCCGCAGATCTGTCAGTGGACGGAGCCGATTGATTGCATCATCATCATCGGAACTTCTGTAACGTCTGATCCATCCCTGAACTTCGCGGCATCCTTCTTTCATCTCCTAGCTGCGGTCAGATGGCTTCGCTACTCCTACATCTCTGATCACGTCAACACCATTATTTTCACACTGGAACTGGCCAAGTTTTAGCCGTGTCTCGCCATGCGCCTTTCCCTTGTACTCATAGCCGCCCTTCAGGCGACTGTGAGTATTGCTTCCAGCTTGACCCCTCCGGTCCTGCCCCTGATCGTGCGGAATCCATATCTCAGCACCTGGCTGGGCAACGCTCGAGATGAGCCTTGGTCCAAATGGCCCATTTTCTACACCGGGGAGGAGCTGGGTTTGTCCCTAATGGCTCAGGTCCCCAGCACAGGCACTGTGTATCCTTTGCTAGGCAAGCCACATGAATCACTATCGGGGTAGGTCATCGTCACTTCAAGGATCAATTACGGTAGGTTGCTAAAAGTTTGCTCTATAGTGTTTTACAAATTGATTATCCAACCTACCTTGGAGCCAATTACGACGCGTCCACCACCAATTTGACCTACCGTATCAACTCTGCAACTACCGCGGCTCATCACCAGCTCGATATCACCGTATCTTTCCTTTCTCCTATCACCCCTACGTCGACTCTGCGGCAGTCGATTCCCGCCTCCTATGTGTCGGTTCATGTGCATGGCAATGCAAGCATAAATGTCTATATGGATATCAACGGACGATGGGTGAGCGGAGACACGGGTAGCCAGCTCACCTGGCAATACGATGGATATAGCTCCGAGGAGAGCAAGCCAACCTTGCGCAGGTGGCGTGTAAGAAGGGAGTCTGAGTTACTACTGTCGGAGATTCGGGATCGTGCGGAATGGGGGACCCTACATTTCACCGGACCTGCCGTGCGTCCCCAGGCCCCAGCCCCATTGAAGGTGAATTCATCGTCGCTAATGTGCTGAATAGGGCGTGCAATATCAATCCGGAGAGGCATCGGCCGTGAGAAGCCTCTTTTCAACTCAGGGTGTCCTGGACAACGTCAACGACGACGCTTTCCGCGCCATTGGCGACCGTGAGCCGGTCTTTGCATTCTCCAAATCTTTCGTCTTCTCTCCCAAAGATGGCCATAAGAGTGACAGTGTGACCTTCACCCTTGCATTGACCCAAGATCCAGTCGTACAGTATGCCTCAGCGCGCGGCTTAACGCTAATGCGACCCCTCTGGGAGTCGTGGTTCCCCAGTGTCGAGGCATTGCTTAGCTTCCACTACAATGACTATTCTCATGCAAGCCTCCTGGCTGCAAACTACTCAACTCAGCTCGCCCAGGATGCCTATCAGTCAGGAGCTCATGATTATGTCGATATTGTAGCGCTCTCCGCGCGCCAGGTCATGGGAGCAACCACCTTCGCGGGAACCCCCGACGATCCCATCCTGTTCTTGAAGGAGATCTCCTCGAACGGCAATTTCCAGACCATCGATGTCATCTTCCCCGCTTTCCCCTTCTTCTTGTACACCAACCCGCGGTGGCTGGCGTACTTGCTGGAGCCGCTGATTGAGCACATGCTGAGTGGACAATATCCAAACACGTACGCCATGCATGATCTCGGGACGCATTTCCCCAATGCTACCGGTCACCCCGACGGAAATGACGAATACATGCCTGTGGAGGAGTGCGGTAACATCCTCATAATGGGCTTGGCGATCGTCAACTCCCTTCGTTATTCGGAGGATACTGCTGCGACCTCCATCTGGTCGACGCAGGGTGCATCTCCCGAATTGCCCGAGGAGACCAATGGCAAATTTCCTCTGGTCGATCTGCAGATGTTTGGCGGAATCGATCACCAAGATGGCAGATGGGGCGGTGGCACGCAAGGCGAGCACTTGGCTGAGAGATGGATCCAACGCAGTTATCGACTCTGGGACCAGTGGACAGGTTACTTGGTGGAGTTCTCCCTCCAGCCCGCCAACCAACGTAAGTCATGCCTTAGCGAGAGCAACCAGGGAGCGAACTGACACCATCACAGTGTCCACGGACGACTTTGCCGGCTGGCTTGCTCTGCAGACCAACCTGGCCTTGAAGGGCATCATCGGCATCAATGCTATGAGCAAACTGGCCGAGGTGGCTGGCTACCAAACCGACGTCACCTATTACAAGGTATGTCATGGCTCTCGACTTCCCACCCGGCTTAGCTGATCATCCCAGAACATTTCGGATACCTACATCGCCAAGTGGGAGGAATACGGCATGTCCCGCGACCAGACGCACGCCAAACTCGCCTACGACTGGTACGGATCATGGACCACCATCTACAACCTCTACGCCGACGCGCAGCTCTGCTTCCACCTGGACGGCACCGACCTCTCTCGCCACCCCTTCCCAGTCCCCAACACCGGCCAAAAGCCTCTCACCACCAATAGAAAGCACGGCTTCGTCCCGCGCCACATCTACCAGCGCCAGTCGATCTGGTACCACAACGTGCGGCAGAAGTACGGCCTGCCGCTCGACAGCCGCCACCTATACACCAAGACGGACTGGGAGTTCTTCGCCATGGCGGTCGCCAGCGAGGAGGTGCGCAGCGAGATCCTCGAGTCCGTCGCCCGCTGGGTCAACGAGACCGTCACCGACCTCCCCTTCACCGACCTGCACAACACGGAGGGCCGCGGCGAGTTCCCCGGCCCCAACTTCTACGCCCGGCCCGTCGTCGGCGGCCACTTCGCCTTCCTGGCCCTCCAGCGCGCCTGCGGCGGGCGCGCCATGGATGGCCTTGCCTTCCTGGACGGCACGGACCCGGACGACTCGTTCTCGACCACCACGTTGGCCGAGTGGGAGGCGGCGGCGGCTGAAGCGGTTACGCAACTCGGGGAAGCATACGGTCGTTACGGCTATAGCTCCGAGAACACGGAGCTGTAACCCCCTGCAGTAATTCTGTTTGCCCCAGTATCTCCCTCTATATACGCAGCGCCGTGCTCTGCGATTCAGATTCAGATTGGTAGCTAGCCAGCCACTTGGGTATAAAATCGGAACCGTAACCCTCTCTCTAGACAATTGAATAACTGCCACTACCACACTGGATACCTCTTTAACACCAGATGAAATAGAATGGCAGAATTCCATGCAACCAGCCAACCAACCAACCAACCAGGCCAATCTTCTCCACACCTACCCATTCGTGTAAGTTAGTCAACCAAGGAAAAAAAAAAAGGTGAAGCAGTCAGCGCGTGCACGCATCTTAGACTATCACCCTCAAGCACCTGAATGTCCCATCTCTTCCCCGACCCAGACGTGCATGCTGCTTTGTAGGGGAGGGTTTCACACACAGATTCCCCGAGGTCGATGCTTGGTAATGGTCTGTACCTTGGAGGTTGGTACCTTGGAGGTTGGGTACTCTTGATCCTTGCAGTGTTTTGTTGGGCTTTAAATCGCACCACGTGGAGTACACGTAGAGTACACATGCAGTTTGATGGGATAGGAGGATCGTAGAGTAGGATCGTAGGATAGTGATAGTATGATAGTAATAGTAGAATAGTAGAACAGTAGGATAGTGATAGTAGGATAGTGTTAGTAGGACAGTAATAGTAGAATAGTAGAATAGTAGAATAGTAGAATAGTAGAATAGTAGAA